AGACAGCTCCTCAGTTGACACAAGGATTAGGAAGTGGAAACACTTACAACTCATGCGTCGCACCTCTGGTGTCTAAAGCGACAGTAGGAATTATGATTCAGGGAGCGGATAACATGTAGCCGGCTGTGAAAGGACGGAACATAAGCCTCCAGCTGGCGTGTGCCCAAAACAGTACTTATATTCTATTTTAGGAAATGGACACCCCGGAAGGATGTCCATGAATGTAAAACTACGCGTCGCGAAAGGCGTCCCTTTATATAAGCAATAGCAACGTCTGGCCACAAATGAGGTAGCGCTTGGCAAGGGATCGGACAAACTCCGGTCCCAGACTAACTTGGCTATAGTCTATAACACCGACAGAGCTGCTCAAAAAAGAAAAAATACATATAGAGGGGGCATACGCCGAAAGGCAGCTAAGTAGTAACGATATTGAGGTGTTCGTACGGTCAATCTCTGATGCTGCCTTGGATTTGTCGCAGCTAAAGGAGTTCTGCGTCTTAAAGCAGGATAACCCTGTTGTAATTTTGGGGGTCCCTTTGGGGACAATGATACAAGGGGGGAAAAAGCCGAAAATGACAGAATAATTTACCAAATCAATTTTGAGACTAAATTTTGTATCCCCGCAATCTAAATTAACAGACTAGGGTGGCTCTACGACGGAAAGGAGCACCAGTGGATAAAGAAGAATGTTCACACACGAGGGCCAGCGATTTTTAGCCTACCGGCAGACGCTCTTCAACACAAGGTGATTCGAAACAGTATTGTACTCAACTCAATGCTGTACAAGGCCCAGCTCTGTTCATCCCGGGCACATGTCAAGCAGTGCTTCAACTGCAGCCAATGGAGGCATACCTAATCCTTGTGAAATAAGGTGAAAAGATGTAATGAGTGTGCGGGCACTCACCTGACCAGAGACTGACCGGAGAAGTCGGTGCTTTGCTGCAACTGCGGCAAAGCCGATGGATCGTGGCAGAAGGGGGCGTGTTATAACTTCATATAATGCAAGGCCAGCATTCAAAGGGACAGGAATGGATGCATGGAGAGAACGGTGGATCTGAGAAGGGAGGTGATCTTACCAGCGGCAACACCATCAACAATAGCGGCAGAGCAAACAGACAAACAAGAGTTCACACTAGTGTCCAACCGGAGGGTAGAGGTCGGGGCGCCTACGAAAATATCCAGTGGCCACAGGCCCACATCCTCAACTAACAGCGCCATCAGGTTCGAGTTTCAGACCATAGTCGTCTCTTTGCAGCACGCGAGGATAGTGGAAGGATGGCGAGGTCACCTACAGTTTTAGCTAGTCCTGCCTCGAACCAACGGTACATTGCACTTACTATAGCTATCGAAGGACTACAGAGATATAAAAAATTTAGTAGAGGAGGGGGTTTCTATCGTTATGGTTTTCTCATCATGTAAATAAATAGGCAGGCTCATCGCCGCCCGCATGGGCCTATAGGGCGCCGAATCGGGTTGAGTGAAGTCAATTTCAAATATTAATCAGAATTTAGTTGATAGACTCTATAAGTTCTTCATAGTCTTAGACTCAAAAGGCCCTATAATAAAATTCACTTATCATCTTATCTTCGTGAGCATTTGAGATACTCTGCAAAAATATCAGAATTCGGGTTGTTGTCTTATATTAAATATTTTATATTTTGGTCGGAGTCTCCAACTTAGGCCGGCTGCCCCAATGGCAAGGCGTTTGACCTCGAATCAAATGATTACACGACACGCCCCTGATCAGGTTAGTTATCCTGTCGGACACTAAACGTATTCGGGAACCTGCGGCGCACAACTGTTGCATTTGTAGGTTTTGAATGGGTATAAGAACAACGGGTTAAACCTTTAAATCTGTCTCACTCCAAAATTATTTTGCATCGGATTTTAATTGCGAGTACAGCTATCCAGCTATGACACAATATCAAAAAAGTACATAATAGATGATTCAATGTAAAGGAACAGCTCTCATGCCTCAGATTTCATGAGCAAATATCACTGCGAAGTTATGGTGGCTTTTTCGTCACCCCAAGTCAACCTTCATCCATGAATACCCACCCGGGGGAAGTTCTCAAAAACTCCGAGTTATCCAGAAATGCCTCCATAATCCTTTGCATCATCTTGCGAACTCGTCCTGATCCCTCTCACGCCCATCCCAAAGAGCTATCTTCCAGATTTGTACGCCACGCTTTTACTCCTTCGTCGGGTGTAAATATCAGCGTGGGCGTGTATTTGGTGGCCAGCTGAGGCCAGAGAAAGTCGATGAGGGGTGTGGTCATTGAGTTGAGGATGTATTAGGTCGCACTTATAGACGTGATGAGCCTTAGGTAGGATTCGATCTCTCTGAGAGATAAAAATTGACGAGGTGGAGTAATTTTAATTATTGCCTCGTGGGCCAACTAGTTCGGTATTGCAAATTTTGTCTGAACTTGTCTCCGGGAGAATATTTCACTCCCAGGTTCGTAGAGGACACCGCGCACGGGTGTTTAGTCTTGACCTCCAATTTATGACGTTACAATAGTGTCAGCCTTATCTACTGAAAGGTCCAGCACGGCATGCCTCGACTAATGTGCTCGCTCCAACGGCCTAACTCGTTCCAACCTCGTGATTCGCTGCCAAAGTGAAGCTGATTAAAGTGTGTGATTATTTATTGTGCTACTTGAGTCTAAGAATTCCCTAGCAGATCGGACACCTCTCTGACCCAGGCCACACCTTGTACATTCCTCCTTGCCTCTCATGTTTCTTGAAAGATCATTGATATATTGACTGTGTATTGAAATGTATAACCCACTACTTAGTTCGTGGACTTATTGGTAGAGGGAAGCTTATACAATAATGAAGGATAAAATGATGTCAATTCGACTACTCTTGCAAACACAGTTACCAGACTCCTTTTAATCCCAATATATAGCCCGTGCGGGATCTCCTATTAATAGCAGTAAACAACGCTAACACAGATGTTCCCCTGGGTGGGTATTCACGGATGAAGGTTGACTTGGGGTGACGAAAAAGCCACCATAACTTCGCAGTGATATTTGCTCATGAAATCTGAGGCATGAGGGCTGTTCCTTTATATTGAATCATCTATTATGTACTTTTTTGATATTGTGTCATAGCTAGATAGCTGTACTCGCAATTAAAATCTGATGCAAAAAAAAACATTAGCACAGGGTATACGAAGTTGCCGTTCGCCAAACACCAGTTGGTCGGGACTGCTAATTATCGAGCCTAGTAGGATTGACAAAGTGTGTCCCAACACAAAAACAATAGAAAACTCAACAACCAAACCCTTCATCAATAACTGCCATTAAACATCACCTGACTTATCTCTGTACCCCACAATTTCAACACTGCGATGAATAACCATTCAGCTAAATGTTTACCCCTGGAACTCGACCACCTTTTCCATGGAACCTACTACCCAAAATAAATAAAAATATAAATGGTAGCAATGGGAACTGCGTGCGCCGGAGAAAGTCTCAGAAAATCTGCAGCCCTAGCCGGGCGAGGCCTAGACACCGGAACCACTTGAAGTGCGCATATTCATCTATATCTCCTTTCTATGTGACAGTCGAGGCCGACTTGATCCAATCCACCATCTCCGTATCGGGTGCTGGGTACGCTCCAGAAACTCATCGGATGGCTTCTCCTCCATAAGCAAGGTTGATGATGAGAAGGGCTTCGAACCTACCATCTGATCTGATAATAGTTAGCTTCATGATTATAGTGATGGGGAGATGTATTGAGAGATGAAGACGATACAGACCACGAAAGCGATTGGGAATCCTCGTCGAAGTGAGGACTATGTTGCTCAATCTCGGCTCTGCAGACTTTACAGTGAGAGCTGGAGGTTCGTAGGGGACACCACTGACAGGTGTTGGGAAAAATACCCTTCAGTTTTCCAGTCTTCAGTACTGTGTGCATGCCCGAAAGTATTATTACCCGCAGACGCATGACCGGCGGTCGAAACCTGCAGTCTGATAAACACTAAATACTATGGGAACAGAGTCTAATTCCAAAATGTTAAAACCAGCAACTAGAAGGATGGCCAATTTGCCATGCGAAAATCTCCAACTCTTTGTATTCCATTTCTTGTTGAATCTCAGTCATTCAATCACATATTACATAACAATTCTTCTATTTTCCATTATGTATCTTACACCTGAAATTCGGCATTCATGCCACGAACAAAATCAATTCTAGAACCACGTATGGAACGGAGATTTGAGCAGCTCGTACAGACAATCTTAATATTCAGTCTGTATTTGTTGTGATTATGAGCTTACGGTAGTCAATGGGCTTAAGTTCCTGTTTAGCATTATGCGCAGGATATGATAACCTTGTGGTCTGATTGTTGTGTATTGAAGACTATATTGATCAAACGAGGAGAAAAATTTCTCATGTATAAGATTAAGGTGTCTATGCACTGAATATTACCCAACACAGCTGCCACTCTAATCTAATGTACTCCACAGAGACCACACATTACAACAGTATTTGGAACTAGTACTAATAATGAGAATACTCTCAAGATGTATATAATACCTAGATGTACTCCTCATTTAGGGGATAATCAATCAACTCAATCTTCTCAGACACAACTCTATCTTAACCCAATTCTGCCTAGCAAAAGAGGATAGGAGCGCTATACAAGGTATGACCTAGATCAGGAACGATCCAAATGTGCTACATATTCATAGATTTAAGTAGCACAGTAAACACACACACACACATACACGAGGCAATGGGAAATAGATGTTGTCGATATAATAGCAGGGATCAATGCATGATGAGTACTTGCTTAGTCATGAAACCAGAACTGAGAATTAAAATAGAAAGAAACAAATCACCTCACCAGATTAAGGCCTTGACAAGTGGTTGAATAAAAAAAGTAGAATATTTTTGGGTGACTGCAGCTATTATGCCGCTCTCTAGATAGAATAGTGATGCCCGCGTCCAAACACCTTCCTGTTGTCAGTCACCCTTCATAGAAGCATCATTCATTTAACCTGCCAGTCCGTACCGATGGCGTAATAACCCATCAAAACTTCTTTATCAACATTAGCTAGGCAGTCCTTGTCAAATATATCTTTACCGCCAACTGCTTGAGCAATATGTGACATCTTTTCCTTGACAAAATCCCACGTCGAGATTTTATGCACCACATCAGTCTGGGCCCAATCGTTCCGTCTTGTTACGTCTGAGGTCTCGTTTCCATAATTGCCATCATAAATCCATACTAAACAATCTACAGCTTTTTCACTACCCTCAATTAGTTCGTTGATGACCTGTGTCCACATTGCAAGGAAGTCTTGAATTTTGCGGAGAAGTAGATCTAGCACCGGAGATGGGAGTTCTAGCAGGCGCGTAAGAGCTAGGCATGACAACTTCTGTCGTTCAATACTCGCCATGTTGTCAAAATGGCGGAACCATTCGGTCGAGAGCCATGTCCAAACCTCATCAAAGGAGCCTAGCGATGATACCATGTCAAAAAATATACGTGGGTCAGCCATAATGAGCCTCGCGAGGATGGTCAAGTAGTCCGTCTCTACCATATCAGTATGCCTTGGATATCTCTTGTTCACTCCACTCGTCTCATGAGCTTCCCATGAGTCTCGTAAGCCGGCCAGAATTTGAGCAAAAAGTCCAGTTTTAAGCAAGTCTTGGGAGATCAGAGTTAGTCCTTCTAATCCTCCATATTTTTCCGCAGCACGAATATGATACTCCACAATTGAAGTTACTAGACCAGCTATATCGCGCTTACTGACATCGAGAAGAGAATTCATATATGTTAAGGTACGGAAACGATAGGTGTCCGAAAGCATGTATTTGGGAGCAAGAATACAGTAACATTCGAGGATATGAAGTACACTGCGAAGATTTTCCGAGCCCAGCTCGAGCAGTGGAAATATAGAGTCCACAAGAGATAAAATAGTGGGAGTATCAGAGGATTGACTTGTTTCTAGAATATTGGTCCAAAGATCAAGCGCATCTTCCAAGAGATAGATTCGAGACTCCGAATCTGATGCCACAGAATTCGCCACAAGAGGAATCATGATGGAATAATAGCGTTCTGAAGCAGACTGGAGAGAGACAACGAGTGTGGAGAGAATGCTAAAAATCGATTGCTTCAGTAGGTATTCTTTTCCGGCAACTTCCCAGAGCGAGGAAAGCATTGCAACAATTTGATCAGCAAAAGGGATAATGTATTTTTCAAGACGGTTGGTAATAACGCGAATTGTATGGAGAATAGCTATCTTTGTCTCACAGAGATCAACCTCTTGAACGAGAGTCATGATTCTACCCAAAATCTCAGGTGCAAACGGAAGGAATTGTGCAACATCGAACGAAAATTCATCGACAACAAGTTTGAAGTGTCTTGCCGCAGAGATACGGACAACGAGATCGTTTGTTTCATCCTCACCCTTGAGAAGATGCTGAAAAATCTGATTAACGATGACTTTGTTCTCACTGGAAATCTGGATAACGATCCATTGGCTCAATAAAATGGCAATGCGCCTTCGCAATACCTTAAAGCTGGGCCCATTCTGTTGAACATCATTAACAAGTGTGGATGAAATCAATGAGTCAAAATCGTAACTTTGAAACACTATAGGGGCTGATAGTCCCATAGCTGTGTATATAGCATCCTTCGCAAGAATGGAGTCGGATCCTATGTTTGCTATTGATCCAAAGTATGAGAGCAATGGGTTTAGGAGCATATCTTTGAAATTGATGATCACATCCGTAAATAGCCTTTCCGAATACGGTCGCAATTCAAACTCCCAAGCATCTCCATTACCTTCCTCTCTTACGACCCACTCTTCTTGCTCTTCTTCCCACGCGTCAAGGTCAGTCTGTCGAAGTAAAAACAACTTTGTAACTATTACATTTGCAACATGCTGGATTAATGGAACGGTTAAGAGCTCAGATTTGACTAGCTCAATTGCTTCTTTTTGCTCGGCTTTGACTTTAGCACTGGTGTATTGAAAGTACCGCAGTGGGCTGTAGCCCATTTTTATACAAGCTCGCATGATTTGAAGACCTTTAAGACACAGTTTCTCTAATAAAGGCTTATTGAGATTTGCTTGACTATCATCCATCAAAGATGTCTCACTGTGTTCGTGAAACTCTGAGCTATATAATTCACCAAATTGGGTAACTAGATCCCAGTACGCTCTCACTAAATTAAACGATCCAGGGAGGTGAACAAAGGCAACGGGATGTTGAGTTGCCATGGACAAATGAAGTTTAGATAGCTGTAGAAGATGCTTTTCTACTATTTCATTTCCACGAGATACTGGAGACTGCAGATGTGACACCTTCTTAAAAAATAGCCCGAATTGTTGTTGAGCTTGTTCCCACAACACCTTCACGTCATTTGAATGATTAGGGGATTCATACCCAATCATCACTAATCGTCTTAAAGTCCGTAGTGCAAGTAGACTTGTTTCCATTGCTTCCACAATGTCTCCATTCTCATGCGAGGCTTGTTCCGATGAAAAGGAAGCCCAATAAGTGACTCTTTCGAGGTATATTTCACATATGAGAAAAAAGAGCTCCTGGTTGATTGATGTGATTTTGGCCAGAGATGCTCGTAAGCGTGCAGATGCCAATTCTTTCACAATATGGAGTGACATCAGCAACGCTCTCTGTAAATGAAGCTGATTTGTTCGCCGAGAAACCTGGATCACCTTGATTAAATCCGGAAGGGCTTCGGGCCATTCATTCGGAAAATCTATCCTTACAACTTTTGAAACTACGAGTGCACTCTGCACTGCTAGTTTTTTTTCTTCCTCTTTAATGCACCCTTCCAGAAGACGAGATCTTATATGCGCCTTCTCTTCAGGCACAATAAATTTTGTAGCAGTTCTTCGCCAATATTTGTCTATGCCATTTTTCAATTGAATAATTGCTAGGTAGCGCACTTCCAAGGATAAAGATTTATCAAAATAAGCTGTCTTTTTTAAATTATTAGCCTGGCTGTCCATGCTGTCAATTTGCTACATGCCTGAAGGAAGGTGAAATATTGCCGCCGTGACTCCCATGCTTGAAGTTGCAGAGCTCCAGTTTGTATACTGTGGTTATCCGAACAAACAGCAGACTTCAGCGCTCGGCACACCTCTTCAGTTGTAAGAGGAGCTACCTCTCCAGGTAGCTCTACGGCGAACGACATAAGGATTAAAGTATATGTACTCTGCCTTGTGTGTTGTACCCCACGAGGCTGATCGAGCTTCTTAGTTGTCCGCCAGTTTTGATTTTAAGAGTTTTTTTCGCTTGATTGGTACATGTGGAATGCGAGATTGGTTGCAGATCTCCGTCGATAACTGAAATTTTATATAGTGATGTTATCTAGTATGTTTTTAGGTAAAGTATTACCAGATTATATATCTGGATTCAAAATTAAGTTTTTGGAGACAAATGGGAGTAGCTTCAGACTAAATCAAAAAAATCAATTCTTAGGCCGTATTTCTATGTCTGATTGGCGTGATTCTAATGTTAGATTGCTTTGCTAATAGTTGCGAGAACAAATTCTTTTAGTTCACAGCCTTGCGTCTGCTTGGTTCCAGAATTCAAGGTGAGTGTTTCAAATAAATCCTCGGTTTGCGGCGTATTAGATGGCAGAATATCCGAGTAATTGTGGCTGCATGTATTCAATGTTCTATCAAGAAGCATTTTACGTCACGTGTGTAGTACTATTTTGAGCCTTAGGAAAGATTAAGCGCAATTATATTACCATGTACACTGTACATGATAGACCAGGATATATGTAGACTTCCTCTATTTTCGGAGTTTGATCCATGTCTTGCATCTTTCCAAGCTCAATATAACAGTGACACTACTTACAAATGCATACTCGATCACACAATCAAAGAAGGCAACTCCTCCTCGTCATCTTCACTCTTACGACGAAACGGCGGGGAGGGCAAGACTGAACACCTGTCAGTGGTGCTCTCTACGAACCTGGGAGTGAAATATTCTCCCAGAGCCAAGTTCAGTCAAATTTCGCAATATCAAAGAAATTGGCCCACGAGGCAAAAATTCAAATTACTCCACCATGTCAATCTTTCACTCCCAAAGAGTCCAATTCTCAACTAAGCTTCATCAAGTCTACAAGTACGACCTAGTACATCCTCATTTCAATGACCACACCTCTCGTCGACTTTCTCTGGCCTCAGCCGGTCACCAAATACACGCCCACGCCGATATTTACACCCGATGGAGGAAGCAAAGCGTGGAGCACAATTTTGGGAGATAGCTCTTTGGGACGGACGTGAGAGGGATCAGGACAAGTTTACAAGATGATGCAGAAGGGGGATACATTCTCGACGGGCGTGAAATTTCGAATTTTGGAAAGAGTTTTACGAATTGAGCTTTGTGCGCGCCAAGACTTCGCTTGCGAGAGTGCAGCTGACACTATAAACACAAGCCAACGATGGAAGGTGTTGTGGTCCGCCTCCTGGTGGTGTTCTCTGGTATGGTTTGAGTAGCATGGGCACCTACTCCACTTGGGAAGGAGACATCTCAGATTACATTTCGCGCGGAGAAAAGTTGATGGATGACAGAGGCATGTCTGGATAACTCAGGGTTTTTGAGACGTTCCCCTGGGTGGGTATTCACGGATGAGGGTTGACTTGGGGTGAAGAAAAAGCCACCATAACTTCGCAGTGGTACTTGCAAATGAAATCCGAGGCATGAGTGCTCCTATTATAAACTGAGTCATCTTTTCTCTGATATTGTGTCATAGCTAGATAGCTGCATACGCAATTAAAATCTGATGCAAAAAAAAAAAAAGACGAAACGGCGGGTATTTGGGAAGTATGGCGGCCCTAGATACTCATCAATAAAAATAAACAGACATCTTGTTCTTCCTGAATTGAGTTGTGTCTAGAGGACGCTCGTCATAGACTGAATATTACTCATCCCATCCAACACCAAAAAGGATAAGCGAAGTATTCAGGACCAACGAGCAACTTGATAGCACAAAGAAAATCAGGATAGCGCCTTGGTTGATAGAGGAGCACCATCAGGCTAAACCTTAATCCAAATTGTTTGGTAAAGATGAGAGCAGGAACGTGTTTCGTGGGGCTATTGGATTGACAAACGCCAGTTCAGGCTGCGTAAGGTCGCCGAATCTGTAACTAATACCGGCATGTATCTGATGGCTAGCTGTGCCAAGCTGTGACTTGATAGTGCAGCACCGCTACTTAAAACTCTTAAAGTTTGTGTTTTATTACCCGGACGGCGATCATTTGTGCTACGAAGCATATTTCTCGGTCGATTTACAAGTGATAACGACGTCGACACTAAGCATCTCGAGAAAAGTGTAGGAGCTGACCATGGGTGAAAAGTATCATGGGTAAAGGAGCTATATGGGTTACATCCGCGTACCAGAATAAAGCATGCGGAGGTAATATAATTGCTGTGCGAATTCTTAGATCAGCATGGCCGTTAATTCTCTGCACTATGAAAATTCTCTACGACTCAAGCACTTTCAAAGTATATCCAAACTAGCTGAAGTAATTCTTCACATAGAACCTGGGAGCGACCTCAGCATAGCGACCTACCACGCTCAATTCTTCCGTCAGCAAAGCTCTCTAGAAGCTAATTACAAAGCACATGGTGTGCATCGCCTTATCACAAAAGACGGTTCCATGAAAAATTTTTGAGATGCCTCCTAGCAGATCTGCGAATGACCTTGTGATATGTGTTATCCACGATATGGAACACGCGATGTAAAGGAAATTAGTAGCAGCCCTGGTCAATCTAGATGTGGGAGAGACCTTTGATGTAGTACTTCAATGACGGCTATCACAAGGTATGAAGAAAACGGGATGACCACAATCAGTTATCTATTGAACCAAATCTTTCGTTAAAGGCTAATCCATCTGTGCTCGACACGGAGGCAAAATAGCAGAACAAGTCTTCCTGCAATGCAAACTTTGACAAGGGCCACATCTGTGCCGAATTCTCTTTTCTCTTTCATAGTATAAGTTGTGTGAGAAATGATATAGAGGTTGGCTGTGTGGAAGATGTTGCCGTACTCTGAATATGGTCAACAACTCGCGAGGCAACCTGAGCCATCCAGTAATGAAAATCTATCCTGCCATCTTACTATCTCTTTGCTTAAAGTGAAAATTCTGGTGCATCCATCTACAGAACATCAGATTTCTTTGTTGGCTTTTTTCGCTAAACAAATAGGACAATCTTAAGAAGCGGCATTGGTAGTATCGCGAGTGGAGAAACCTCCAACTCGAATGTTCATAGTGCTTCAGCTGTCCTTAAAGAATCTTAACGAGCAACTGTGACTAGTGATGTAGCGCTACATAGGCATTTCTCTATAAAGATGGAGCGGCCCAGAAACGGCTGATTGAAAAATTAATCTCGTGGTCTTAGTGGGTCCGAAATTTCTGGAAGTTGGCCGCCAGAGTAGCTGTATAGGTAAGAACTAGATAAAGCATGGGATTTGCAAAATTTTCAGGAATTGTAATAACGGATAAGCCTAATCGAAGACAGCTCGAATCAGTGGAAACTGTCACGAGGATAGAAGTCCTTGTGTCCCTCACCATATTAAGGCGTAAAGCTTAGGAACTAGAAATTAATAGACAACAAACTAGTGGGACTTTGTGCGACCAAATTAATACTCAGACCTTGATCTCTGCATGCAACACAAGAACCCTTGGAAACTTTTGCTAAAAGCTATCTTTGCTCGTCTAACTACAATTCGAACTGGACATGATAAATCGGCAGTATACCATCGTGGCTTCAATAATACAACAGCTTGATTATACTGCTAATGTAGTAGATGCTATTTAATTCCTCATAGCGGTCGAACCTTTTAGAACGTCGGAGCCAGAAACTTGCCCAAATCAAACAGGTGGTGACTGTTTGGTGAGTTTGTCCGTGAGAGCGGAATCTACATGCAAGCAAATCGGGCCATGCCGAGGCGCTAATAGCAAGCAGTACGCAACAGGATAGCCGCTGGTCTGCTACCTAAAAAATAATTTTTAAAATGAATCAAGGCTCAATCGATTTGTGGCCGAGGTAGAATATTGCACAGAGTAATAAGGAAATAATGGCCCCTCAGTCATTGAGGTTGCAGAGCGCATTGATTCAAGTAACTACCGAAGTGGAACTAAGTAAGAATTTGAAGTCACACTATATCAACTACGTGGCCTACTTGATAGCCCCGATTATTCTAACTTCTAACACAGAGTGAACATTTCGTGAAATGGTGTTTTATGGGAAAGTTTTCTTTTGTTTATCTTGGGCCTTTGGACTCGTTATGATTCAAGACATGAATATCTCTTGGCATTGTTCCAGTCATTTACGTGGGACAAAGTATTATTTGTACCTCATCGGTTTTTAACCTGATCCGCCCTGGACTACGTCTTACTTGAGCTCAATTGGGAGTGCGATGAATCTCATTTCACCCAGCACGTTTATATATATGCATCGCCGGCAAAGACGAATTCTTCGCCTCCCGGTGGTGCCGGTGTAATCACTCAGTATGCTCTGCATTTCCGGGATATCCAAGAAGAATGGCAACCGAATCGAAGTCGAAAGCAACCTCAAGAATATCCTCATTTGACGACTTTTGGACAATGCTTCTCTTACCATTATCATCTTAGTCCTCAACCCCTTTCTAAACACATATTATCTCGCCTCAACAACCAATAAAGAAGTTGCTCCGATTGCAAACAGAAGCTTGCTCCATTAATTTCGAGCTATCTCTCATTACATATTTACAACGCTATTCAAACCTGCAAGAGGGAAATTGAGTCACAATGTAAAGAGTTGGGGTCTTGGCTTATGGGGGACTGATGCTCTAATGGTGCTATGCATCTTGTTGAAGTACAGTCGGCTGACATGTGGAGCGAGAGGAGAAACAGGTCTCTGAAGACTATGCTGGGACTGATACTTTCGAGGGGTTTTCAACTTTGGAGAGTTTGTGGGCGCCAAGACCAAGAATTCGGCTAACTAGCCATGAGGACTTCTTTTGTCGATGAGTCAACGGCACTCCCCAGCGTCCTGGACGGCACGAAAGAAGTTTGGCTAAGCCTCTACAGTCAGACCTCTATTAAGCCGATGTAATCGGGGTCGTGAAAAATAACGTCATATAGAGGATATCGTTTAAAAGAATATGATTATCTAATCCAGCTATCTAGGCTACTTTGTACTTTTGATGCCTCTTTAATACTCTCAATTGCCGTCTTTAATCACTCTAATACTCTCAAGGTCAGGCCAGTTTCCAGCACGCTGTCGTAGCGCAGTAGTACTTGGAGCTTCGTCAAGATTCGCAAAGGTATTGCTCAAAGACTTGGAGACTGTGGACTGGTTTAACTGATGGCCATACGCAGCTAAGAACCACTCAATGCACTGTTTTTGTGTTGGTTTTGGGACCTGGCGGTACGCCCGTCGTCGCAGAGCACGTCGTTGCTCGATAGAAATTCACTTTTTTGGCGGCATTAAAGCACCAATCTAACAGAAAAACCCTGGTTTAGACAATATTCAGAGGTTAAAAAACGATAATCGAGTAATCGGTAAATGTATGGGAACGAAGTCCGTTCCGGAAAATATATCGTATAAACGGCAATATCGGCTTAACCACGATCGTCTTAACAGGGGTCTGACTATATACAGCAATCACGCTCCGTCGAGGCTTTTCTGACATTTCAGCACGACGTTCAGGGGAGAGTTGGAAGGAGGCTAGAAAGGCAGAGATTGAATCATCCGAGGTACCAACTGGTCAGCAGCACCCAGCTGGCCGGTCTCTTCGAACGCTTTGGAAGGGTCACTATGTCTTCGGACTTATTCTTAATGTCGGTATTAGGAGAGCTCTGCACCCAGTGGTTTTTTTGCGATTTTTCTCGGCTGCCATACACCTACAAATAGCCATCGTTTCGTTGGCTGGAGAGGGGAGATAATGAAGGGTATAGGGCTCCTCTAAGTGTATGATCAAATAAGGGCTTGTGAGGGGTGGTACTATCTGAGGGGAGCTGTATGGGAGGCATAGGAGGGGATGTACTACTGTTATAGGTATCCTTGGCCTGTAGGCAGAGGGGACCTGTGTGTCCTGCATAGTCATAGACTCAGACAGGACAATAAAATAATAATAAATATGCATCACTGTGCAGATTCCGTCCGTCAAGCCTTAACTGTTATAGTTTTACGCTTGAAATTATTCAACAATATAAAACTAGTCCTTCCATGTGATTCTCTCTACTCTAATCTCATACTTCAAGATGTAGTAGATACTCTTAATTTACTGACAGGTTTATGAATGATTACAAAAATTGGTTTCCATGTCCCTGATAATCTGTGTTCCTACGCTTTTCGGGAGATATTCTCAACCGTATATTCCCAACAAAGAGACAAGTTGATGAAAGGACATCTACTGACCGAGTGTTGGTGGCCATGTAAGCTATTGGTACTTGAGCTATCGACTCATATTAAGCCCAACGGTATGAAACTATGTGGTTCCCTGTTCCGCTGCAGCATTACAGAATTTACAGCTCAGGTTACTCTAAGAATGAAGAAAATTCAATGATCCATGATTAATTTTTCAAACTTAGCTCCAAGTTCTTCAAGCCTACATTTACGCACAGTCCTCAGCCTGACAGCATCTTAGCTCACAACTACTTTGATTAGATTGGTAACTTAAAAACCATTGATGCATTGAAGGGGTATCAAGTGAATCTTTTTCGCGGGCCAGAAAAGAATTGAAATTCAAGCCATGTATATTGTGTTAGTGATACGATTTATAATATCTGCGACTAGTAGGTTTCACCACAATGGGCACTCATTCTGTCACTAGATCTTGAAGGGTACAGAAAATATTTGTCATCAAAACAAGCTCCATATTTCGATGTCGAGTCAGAGAGAAATGTTCTTTATATTATAGAATTGAACAATTCATTTTCCAGTGTTACTGTGGTAATCCTCACTTAGACTTAGAAAAAGAGTCTAACAGTTATCGCTGTTGCTTTTGCAACTATATCGTGTCGTTCGAACAATTAATACCGGAGAAGTTGGGAGATAACAAGGGGGGCTAGTTGTAGAAGTCTCCTTGAGCCTGAGTTGAGGAATTATGAAATTCTGAGCGAAGAGAATTACAATTTCATTATAAAGTCTAGTGTCAATATGCCTGACTATAGAGTAATAAAGATGCCGAGGTGGGTGCCGTGAATCTCGAAATGATTTCTCTTCTTCCATAAAAGTGCTGGATTGCCTGTATTCAATATATTCTTGTATTCTACATTGTTTGGTAACTAAGATAGCAATATATTTCTATAAGATAAGCTGAGATACATCGTCTTTATTCGCTGATTTTGATCTAAGACGCTTAAATATGCTCAAAGTTTATCATGTCCGGACCTTTCCACACTCAAGCTTGTACATATCTTGTTATATGAGGTTGGATATTATTAGAAAGCTCTATTAATACTCTTGTGGTAGATGGAATCTTATTAGGTGAAGCGGAAGTCTAGAATTCCGTTTATTTCTAAGGGTCTTATGGGATTAACGTTCGGCGTAACCTGACGAAAAATTTTTCTGTCTCGGACTTTTTTGCTTTCTGATAATACGGCTACTAAGTTCCTAGGTTTAATAAAAGTTACTGGAATTTGTCTTCTAATTTATTTGACTTAAAGCACTGTTATGATGGTTGTCGTACGGTCGAACAAATACTTCATCTAACACGTCCATGATTGACTTCATCTTAGCTTCCTGATCAGAATAATTTTGGAATAACTCGCTATGTTTTGAATACTGATATCCCAGCCGCCAGCTAGCACAGCTAAGTCCACTCCTAGTACCTTAAATCATCTGGCCTAGGGCTAACTTTTTGTCTGTATTTTTTGGACTCATTTATTTTACAGCTCCACTATTCATATCACTTTTTTGAGCATCTAGATTTTTTAGATTTTCGAGTCCGCATAAAGATTTCCTCTAAGCAAGGCTGTACAATTAAAATTTCTTGTACGTGGAAGTGAAGATCCTTTATTCTAATTTCCCCTAAAATGAGATTCAGCCTCTTAGACTAGTAGCTCTTTCTTCTGGTACGACCCAACACTCCATGATATCGAAAGTGCATTCCACTAGAGCCCAAGCACAAGGATCAAACCGATCATCCAAGTAAAAATTGAAGTACAAGGTATTCAGAAAAACTCTTGGCATAGAGACGCATAAAATAAAATATATGACGTTTATTAGAGGCAAATTTTGAAGCGATATCAATTTATTTTAGCTCGCTTCGTATCCCCGGCATCCCCTTCTATTTCTGGTGTTTTTCTCTTCACGTTGGAGCTCTCATTAGCCTCTTTATAGCTACTTTCTTCACGTATAAAGCTAGGACCAGTTCCAACGACCGGTGTAGCAAAATTAAGTGGACTTGGAAGTGTGTTACTATCACCCCCCCTGAAATTCCATTCCGGATAGAAGCTGCTTGGACTGGGCAAGAAGTCATTCGTCATAAACCTACTTGGTAACGCAGAGACAGGTGTATCGACTATGGAGCCATTTGTGTTATTGGACGTTGTATTCGCGTTACTACTTGTATTATTACTCCCAGACACAGGACCAGACCCAGTACTACAGTTACTACCACTGCTGGTATTAGGTTGTGTGCTTTGCGATACTGGATGAGGCCTTGCAAAGGGATTCCTAGGTCCAGCAATGGCTTTAGACATTAAAGACCCAGCCGACGGAGACGGAGGGGGAAGAACGACACCAGACGATAAGGAATCAGTCGTATTCCCATTACGATTAGAATTAGATGAAGTCCCATTAGTACCTGAAGGACTTGAGGCGGAAGTCGAGTTAGCAGTAACACTGCCTTCATCAGATGGTTCGTCTGGAATTTGAACCTTAAGCACTGGTCGCTTACCACCTGCCTGGGCACTTGAAATAACACTAAGGGATCTGGATGTACTTTCTGAGGTTGATGAGTTCATAACTGCGTCATGTATCTGAGGTTGTACTGCCATTGAGGTATGCGTATAGTGTCCTGGGTAATGCGAACGGGAGTCGTGAGGCTTGAATACATTTTTGATAGGTACGCCTTCGTTATGAGGTGACTCAGTTTTACACGTTGAAGATGCCCAGTGCTGAGAAAGAATCGAGCGAGATTCATCAATTGGTGTAAATATACTTCTTGATTTGACAGAGATCCGTTTTACAGGCGCCGGAACTTGGGGTGATGGCAGTGGTTCCTGCTTAATTACATCTTCCTGAGGCGGTGGCTCTGGAAGTTGTTGGGGTAATATTGGCGGTGAAGAGTCGGTACTGGACGGTGGTCTTTTTTGAGGAGGACCAGGTGTTGCGGCTATCTTGCGCTGTTTTTCTGGAAAAGACTGCGATACCTGTTGCTGTTTTTTCTGCTGTTGTTGTTGTTGTTGCTGTTGTTGTTGTTGTTGCTGTTGCTGTTGCTGTTGTTGTTGCTGTTGCTGCTGCTGTTGTTGCTGCTGGTGATGAGGGAGCATGTGTTGCGGGTGGGAAGAGGTAGGCGGTGGTGGTGGAGGTGGTGGATAGTTGGAATACTGTGGAGCTTGCATTGTATGACCTTGCATATGTGTTGATATTGTATGAGCGTGTGGTTGAATACTGGCGTTATGAGGATTGTATATTGCGGCATTCGGTATATATGAGTAGACACTAGAGGACTGAGAGTGTTGTAAAGAAAGATTTGAACTTAAACGTGTACTAGCGTTCCTCGATGTTGGTCTTACTTCTGGATGCTGTGCCTGTGTTGTACTTTGTCGCTGTGATTGATGCGGAAAGGTCGCTCTCGATGGTATGGGAGGTGATGCTGATGGGGTGTGTCTCATATGGTGGTAAGCTGATTTGCTCTGGAACTGCGGTGGCATCATCTGAGGTTCCACTGACCCGTGATGCGAAGGTCCAGATCCATCTTCGTCATCGTCATCGTCATCAGTCTTTCCTTTGCCGTTGAAGTCGGCTGGCCCTTTGTGTTCGTTGGCTCCACCATACTTTTTTCGTTAGCTTAAGTTTAATCAGATAGCTCAGTACCTTTGACCTACATATTGATAACGCGTTAAAATTTCACTGATATCACTACTGGAGTATTCATAGAGCTTCTTGTTGTTTCCAAATATTATGACAGCAACATCGACTGAGCATAGGACTGAGAGCTCGTGAGCTTTTTTGAATAAGCCACCTTTGCGCTTCAAGAAAGTCCTAATATTTGTCAGTAGAAGTTGGGCAGGCATCTAGGACCGATTCTTACACGGAACGGTTTCTATCATCTTTTATCGCTTTTATTTCTATTTTTCTTCGTCCCATAGTAGCGATGCGCCAGTCAAGGTAGATTTAATATAGACGTGACTATCTGTGCACTGTTGTTTGTTTTTTGTTGTGAGGATATAAATGGTACCTTCTCCACTAGGAAATCGCTGTTATGGAAGAAGATTGATGCGGACTTAAACGAGCATTCACGACAGTATGTTCAAAGTTTTCTATGGCGGAAACCTATCGGTAGGGAAGATGTGGGTAAACGCAGCTGTTAGTGTAGAACAGCGTAGTATTGTTTGATACTGTGTTAGGTTGAATTGCAATGTGGTGGTAGTGGAGCTTGGGTTGATGAACTTGCTAGACCGCGAGATAGACTAGTAGTGAAACAGGATGCCAAGTTGGCTGCAATGACTGACTCGGTAGAGAATTAAAATTCGGCTGGGGAATATGCCGGAAAGTGCTTCCAGGTGTATGGGGAGCGGCGTTGGCGGATCCGTGATGAGGCTATAGACCACCCGGTAGGCTGGATGCGAATCTTAGGCTGACTCTACCGGCAGGTAATTGAGGGATTCGCGATGACAAAATTACTATATATAGAGAGAACAGATCGGGACGTAAAAGTCAAGAACCCTAGACTAGTTTGTTTAGGAGTAGGGAGGGGGTTTCGTTTCTCCAGTTCCGTCGGGTAATCGGGTGTGGCCTTGGAGAATTGTGGGTGTGGGATTATTTGTGGACGTGGGATCAATCAAACGGGAAACAACTATTAGTTTACACCGAAAATGTGATGGCCCCTCATTCTAAAGACAAATCGGAATGTGTTCTAAACTGTGAATCTTTTGGCTTGCGAAAAAATTGGAGGATAATCTGAAATTCAAGTGTGCTCTAATATTTTCACCCAAAATCAACTACTCGGTCGTCGCGAAAACAATTTCCTGACCACGATGAGAGGAATGGACTCTTTGAATAATTTATGAGGGAATTACAGAGCGGATTTGGAAGCAGACTTGAAGAAATCAGAATCTCGGATTATACCGTAGACATTTACCAGAGAGTTGCCATGGGTTAAGGCGCGTAGCTTCACATTAACTTGAAAAGAATGGCGGGGAACAAAGTATAGGACATACGAAATCACACAAAGTAACTGAATCATTTTCAAATGTATTCATTTCTCTCTCCTCTTCTTAAATTTTCTCTAAATTACAAGCAACTCAGACCGATCCGCTGATCACCTATTTGCGCGATTGGTTAGGATGCCAGATGAGCCTACTCCACAGCTGTCCCCAGGGGGTCTATTCTCAACACCTGTCAGTGGTGTCTCCTACGAACCTCCAGCTCTCACTGTAGAGTCTGCAGAGCCGAGGTTGAGTAACAAAGTCCTTACTTCGATGAAGATTCCCAATCGCTTCCGCGGTCTGTATCGTCTTAATCCCTAAGCACAACCCTCTCCAAAAACCATTATCATGGAGCTAACCACGATCAGATCAGATGGTAGAGTCGAAGCCCTATCATCACCAACCCTTGATCATGGAGGAGAAGCCATCCGATGAGTTTCCGGAGCGTACCCGGCACCAGACACGGAGATGGTGGATTGGATCAAGTCGGCCTCGACTGTCACAAAGAAGGGAGATATAGATGAATATGCGCACCTCATGTGGTCCCGGTGTCTGGGCCTCGCCTGGCTGGAGCTGCAGGTTTTTTGAGACTTTTTCCCGCGCACGTAGTTTCCATTGCAACCATTTATGCGGGGGTAGAAGATTCTACGGGTAAACACTGAGCTGAATGGCTATTCATCACGGGATACATATCAATGATCTTTTAAGCAACAAAAGAGGCAAGGAGCACTGTACTAGGTGTGGCCTGGGCCAGAGAGGAGCTCAATTTGCTAAATAGTCATAGACTCAAGTATTACAATCAACACGCACACATTAGTCCCCTGCGATGTTGTGTTCAAGGTTAGCACTTGTTTACAAATACTCGCGGTGGCAGCTAAGCATTAATAAACCTCACATCACCGCCAGGAGAGACTGCACGTGACTCAAGCTTATCCCTTTGGATGTCGAGCACTGCACGTCTGCTGTATCCGTTTCCCGGCGTCGATAAGGCCCAAAAAGCCTCGAAATTAAAGACAGCATGTAGGTGATTAGGGATTTACTTGAATCTTGACAGTGTTTGGCGTTATAATACCAAGGGAAATGGGTAGTAAATTCTGCCAGGCCTCTTCCTGATCAATTAGCTGGGTCGCCGAACAACCAATACGATCGACTCAATGGCATTCCAAATGTCAGATAGATTTATCACACTTCAGAACTCTATGCGCGTGCCAATCCCTCTCTCAATGAATGCCTAGTTGAATTTGACTTCATTATCCTGATTTGGCGCCCTATGGGCCCATGCAGGTGCATCAATCCCTATTGGAAACCCCATACTTTCGGATCATGCCGTGGTAACCCAAAAACCCCCGCAACAGTGCTCCTTGCTAGTCCAACTCGTCCAGTATGTCAATCGCTTGGGCTCTACACAAGCAACAATCAGTGCTGACGGGCTGCCGCGTCCAAAACGAGTAGCTCCAGATGTTTCCCGTCCCTACAAAACGAATGTTCATTCCGCACAATTAGATGGCTTGCTAACGGTGGCACAACACCCTCGTGGCGGAGGTGACGCGCTTCAGTCGATTTACCTACGTGCACATGCGACTACTTGTGTCTGGAAGTACTAAATGGTTTACTTTTACACGTAGTAAGTTTGTTATGATACCAGCAAACTGCTAGTGGATTGCTGCCAACCTGTGTGCGTGTCACAACCAACGCCAAACATCGCAACTCCGAAACTCCTCTCCTGTCGCAGGCCTTCGATTTATATAGACTCACATTACATCAAGCCAGTCATTAGCGAGAGCTCAGTTGCATATCAAACACTTTCCTTTACTTGGCGCCAAAACCTATCATTTAATGACTGTATACCATCATGCCATGCAATCAAACCCACTGGGTACCTTGGATTTAGTGTCATCGGATTTCCAACTGGATTCTCCCCTCTGATATCGTTTGTCATGCGACACAAGCTAGATGCAACTAGCATCTGATGATAATTCTGTACTTTACAAGTATTATTCCTCGACTGATATATTTATCCCATACCTATGATAGAATTGTATCCTTCTGGAACTTACCGTCTTCAGACCAAAATCTATACGACTGGATTGGTTGTGAAATTTCAAGGAACAGGAATCAAAGGTTCCGATTAATCGTTCTACCCAAGGTCAATTATCACTTTCTCTTCAATGATAGAGGAATAGAACTACGCAATAGAGGGCATAATCTATTTGGCGTCTATGTAGTAGCATACAGCCTCTTTCCGACAAAATAACTGCCCTGGTTTGCATCTATGGCAAACTCGCAACCTTTACAACTACAACCTTTCAATTTTTCGCTCTTCAACTTTTCAAACTCAACCTTAATTATAATTGCAAAGTGTCAAAAATTTCTATTGTTTGGCGTTTCAATGACTACTTCCAATGCCACACGGACAAGGTAATTTTTATTACTGATAACTGACGCTTGCAAGAATAATTACAATCTATAGAAGTTATACTACCTGCTCACAAATTCAATGATATTTTAATTCTCTCTAATTAACTACGCAAAGGTTAAGATAATTAAGGCTCAAGAGGAATTATAAGCAATGAAGTGCTCCTCTTTTCAGCAAATTTTAAGGAAAAAGTGCAAAAAGAGGTCTATGGGTGTTGAAAACGTCCTATAATTGTTCTCTAACACTAATCAACGACCGAGGCCTCTAGCTTAGAGCCGAAAAAATATGGGTCATGAAGAAAATAACGTTCTGTGTTTGAAAGTGTATCCATCGGTAAATTTTAAATATATAAATTTTCAAATTAATATCAAGTTTTAAAGCTGTTTACAAAGCTTTAGTGATATACTACTAGATAGTTATTCCTGGCCTGCAGATAGAGAGAACTTGAACATCCTTATATAGTGATAGACTCCATAGGACAATAAATACTAAATAAATATAGCTTAAGCAGTCCTTGTATATGCATAGTAATTCATCTACTCATGTAAACCAAGCTAGTTTGGCCACATGGCCTCCCTAGCAGTACGTAGATTTCATTCGTAGCAGTAGAGCTCTCTAGTCAACGTCTGTAACGTAATACCGTGTCCCACATATCTTTCTTATGTGCCCTTCGCACTCACATACTCATTAGGGACTTAACTTTAATTCTATTCTATGTTTGACATGATCGCGTTGATTTTGTAACAAGAAAATAGACAGGTTAATGTATCAAGATAAGCTTGAACCCAACCAACCGTGTACAAGACAGGTCAAATTCTTCCATTCCATGTGCACGTTCAAGTATTTTTGGGAAATAAACTGTTCGATACAGAGGTAGGCTTCCACTTTATTACGATTTTTAAACAAAAGTAACTGTACTCCAGAAGTGAAGCTATAAAAGCTGGTGTTATTGTTATTGAAGGATATATAGTGGATTTACTCGGTCATCAGTTTAGTTTAGCCCACAATTTCTTTGCACATTCTCATATCTGGTATCTAATTGTGTTATGCTCAACACTAAACAGTATGGTATATGTAGTAGCTAGTGCATAGCTAGTTATTACGGTAGTTTGGCATTGTGGCGCATGAATAAGATCCAGTCCCTACGTAACAGCATTCAAAGAAATACTGTGTACAGTGTGAGAGATGGGTTCTTGATATAGGACAATTGGCATAGTCGCTTAGTTGGAAGCACACTATTGTGCGCTGCATTGCGGTTACGTGATCGGTCTACAGTCGAACAAGATAGGGGATAAGGGATGAGCTTCCCCCAATCTGTAACATAACAATTATCATAGTAACTTCACTTCTGCACATTAATGAAGATGTCTCTCCATGAACTTTCTCAGCTATTCTAGTTCATATGTAAATTACCATATCATATACCAATCACGATAACTAGTTCTCCATCTTAGTCAAAGCAATTAACTCGGAATCCATAAGTCTCAAGCAATTGCCGCTGGTTGATAACTGGCGATAGGTTC